TCCTGCTAATAGTCATTAGCGAGTCGTAATTGTTGACGAAGTGCAAGTGTTGCACGCAGGAAAGAGTAACTTGCCGGGTTATGTATACAGCCAGAACAAAATGTAAACAAACAGACAGCAGTATCTTAATATTCTTTGACTTACCTCGGCTGGTAAACGGAAATAACGTTTGGATAAAAACCAGCGCATAGAACAGCTTTGATTAGGGATTTGTTGTCTGGAAACAGATATTAGGAGAGAAATATTAGATTCTTGACATTACGTGTTCATTTATACTGACCTAATAAGGAGCCTCAGCACTACGAATTTGAGGTTCTTCGTTTTCGCGTGAAACGCAGACGCTATTCTCCCAAACTCGTATTTATCAGTTTTTTTGAATACGAGATTATATACAGGGTGTCTCAAAAAAACGCAACCACTTAAATATGCAAGAATATTAATATTGTTCGGGTTTGCACCATAGTTCAGCTAAAATTACTTCTAGCATTGTAAATGAAGGATTAAGAGCCATTTTCAATTCCCAGAGGGGCGTATCTATTGCGCTTAAGAGCTGTATTAATGTTCTGCATATTTAAGTGGTTGCGTTTTTTTTCAGACACCCTGTATAATGTAAATCTAGGACCAGTTGTATGAAATGGACAAGAATATCTAGTTTCACTTCTAGAATTATTTGTATTTTGTATTTTGGCGCGAAAATGAGGAATCGCGTACCCGCATGGTCGTGCTCATGGTCGACCACAATCTATATAACGTATCAAAAATATTTAACGTCTTTTCAATCTTTAATGGGCAACAAAAACATCTTACTAGAATTGTAATTTGCTTTCTCTTGATTGGGTTCAGCCGTTGAGATGAAACCAATTGAGCAAAGATGTTCAGCAAACTGTGTTTTCATATTCTTGATTGACTAAATGCGGTCAAAATTTACGGTCAAAATTTAAAAGTGGTCAAAATTTACGCATTCTAATTGTGTTACTGAAAATGTAAACAAAATTGCTGATTGGTCTAAAACGAAATCCCTTGTTTCCTAATAAGGGACTTCCACTCAGTGCAAAATGTGTCGAGCAAACCATTTTTTTTGCGATCGCAACATTATTCGCCACAGGCTCAGTAAAGATCAATAAACAATAGAGAGCGATATTCACCATCGCTTTCAACGAATAATTGTTAATTATATAAAGCGACAAAGATTTTCAAAATATTTTACCAGTAAGATTGAATGAGAAAGGAAATTGTCCCAGCAAAATTGATAAGCATTTCCATGTGAGCTCGCAGATTCCCATTGCTAAATAAAATTGAAATCTTATCAGTCAGACAAGAAATAATTTATGGCAATACACAAACACATGGTACATAATGCACATCACGGTACATCGCATGATATGATGGTGGTACATAACATGATATTAGGGTACATTACATTATATCACGGTACATAACTTGATATCAAAGTACATAATATGATATCACAGTACATAACATTATATCACGGTACATATCATGATACCACGGTACATAACATGATATCAAGGTATAAAACATGACATCACAGTACCTAACATGATATCACGGTGCATAAAATGATATCATGGTACATAAGATGAAATCACGGTAAAAAAAACATACATTGAAAGCTTCGTATAAAGCTAAATGATCACTTTGAGTTCCTTGGGAGAATCTGCGACGACTTTCATCGGCTTGTCTTTCCATGTTCTACAAACATAAATCAAACATATATATTAGACAGTTCACGCTTCACGTTATACATGAAATAGCAAACGCCAGGCGAAGAAAAAAATTAGATTAAAAGACAATAAAGAGCAAGCGGACTTGATGTCTCAAAACTCCAGGAACAATCAATATTTTTACAAAAGAAATAAAATATGAAACGAAGAAGTTAAACAAACATTAGTGTAAAACAACGCCACTTCGGGATAACTCAAGATGGTGGATATCAATAATTTACCCAACATTTTAGAAAGAGAAAATATTTTGAAAACTAGGCCAGATGCATGTATAAGAAAAAATTGTAAGAGAAGTTATTTAGTTCAAAAATTTTTTTTCAGAACTCACCAAAGGGACGACATAAGGATCGCGATATCCCATGCTCGACGCAATGGTTAGAACTGGGTCCAAGCACGACATGATGGCGCCAAACAGAATGATTTTCCCAATCCGCGGGTGGACGGGCAGGCGGGCTAAATGATGGCCAAGTGGAGTGAGGTTCTCATTGGAGTCAAACGCGTCCTAAAAAAACAAAGAACCATAATTTGTCATGGGAATGCCATGAACATTTTTCAACCAGTTGCTTAAAGCTTGAGAAGGAACATTGAGGATAGTATAGGATAGTACAGGATCATATACGACAAAACAGGGTAGTGTGGGATAGCATGGGTTAAAAATGGATATCATTGTATCGCAAGATATGTACAAACTCTAGACGTAAAATAAAGATAGAAGGCATACAAAATTTGCAAGGCTGATTAAATTTCTGCCATTTTTGACAACTAAGCTGCAGAGAAACTCGATGCGTTCACTTACCAGTTGCATTAAAGTGGCGATAGCTTGTTGTATGGTTCCAATGGCTGGTGGTTCTAAAGCTTTACTTAAGAAAGGCTGTACCATTCCCAACTTCAAGCTCTATCGAATGAAAGTGAAATTTTGCATTTAGGCGATGGCTTACATATGATCCCGTACATTTAAACTGCCAGTGAATGTCGTGAGCATGTCATCGTGGTTGATTTAATATAATATTGCTAGGTATGTATGTAGACATCAATGAAATTATATTTATAAATATGTGAGCCACTTTGGAGATACCAACATGGGCAATGGGGGGGGGTGAACAAATCTCAATTTGATACAACAATTTAATAAGAACAGACTCCCCCCCTCTTTCCTTTTTCTGCACTTCTATTCGCAGATCTCTTACTTTAACTTGCAAACAAACTTCTTCCAGGGGGGTGCGAAGAATTTCTGGCTGTTGATACTCTGCCATTTCTTCAAAATGGTATTCCGTAAAGAGATAAAAACAGACTCCTTCTTGAACCCTGTAATTGAGCGATTGAAAGTATAACCTACACCAGTGATCGTTTGATATTGAAAGAGTGAGACACCAACCAAAACCGTGATGCCGTATTGACTTATTGAGAACAGATTACCTTCCATTTGGTATCTTAGATGTGAATAGACGACCTACTCTTTAGACTAAGTTTTGATCGTAATTACTAATTTTTGAAACAAATTAAACACTCTCTTATTTAAACGTGTATATAGTGATATATAGTACACATGAAACACTATAATATTATTAGATAGTAGCAAATTGTTAGACATAGAATTTTAAGTGCCATTGGTTTATTAGAAGAAATAGCGCTATAAAAATGATTAAATATACCATTAATATTAAAAAAACAGAAGCCAGACTCTTAATGAATGTTTTTATCGCGGGTTTGTGTCATTTTATACCTTCCAGCTCGTCCTCTTCGTTGTACACATGACGCTTTACTGTTCCACACAGCTTTTAGCGTGGTCAGCTGTTTGTCCGCATCGAAGTTCTAGAAATAAATTATAAAATACAAAATATTATGTGCAGTTCTACCAGTCTGAGATTTGGCTGGCTACAACACTACTGCTTTAAAATAATGTTCTGTTCGTGTTTCACTTTCAACCTTTCTCAATGTCAGTGATCATTGCAGTACTGCTAGTCTGACTGAGTGCTGACTGTTGCTACTAATACTAGCCTGACTAGTCTAGTACTTACTGCTTTGCAATGTTTTATTCAGTGTTTCACTTTCAACCCTCCTCAATGTCAGTTGATCATTGCAGTACTGCTAGTCTGACTGAGTGCTGACTGAGTGCTGACTGTTGCTGCTAATACTAGCCTGGCTAGTCTAGTACTTTGCGCTTGATAACATTTTACTCAGTATCTGTCAACCTTCCTCAACGCCAGTCGACCATCTCAGTACTATTATAGTCTGGCAGAAGTCGCTATTTTGAAATCATCGGGTGCAAACCTTAAGCGGAAGACGCATCTTTGAGTCTCGCCACTTGGAAAATACGGTAAAATCCAATGGTGTCTCATAGCAATGACGTTTTCCCCATTGCCAAGGTGATTCGGTCGTGAGGTAGGTGCGACTGAGCATTTGACTTTGGGTGGAAGGACTAAACACATCACTTTATGTTTTATATCGCCCGGAAAGTAAGGGATTGCCCATCGAGTACGAATATTTGGGTTGCCACGGTCATAAGATTTGCATTCTCCTTCCGTTCTAATATTCGGCAATATTTCCAAGAAATTACTGTACTCCAACCACTTTCCACCGCCTTGGCTACAAGCAAATGCGTTGTTGTGTTCATCGTATTTTATCCTGGAATGCGGCTTTCCTGTACATTTTCCTAAAAGGCAGATCGATGCTGTAAGTGCGTGAAAATTGAAATTCATACTCGTAACAATAATTTGAAAGAAACATTCTCAGTTTTTTTAACCCAAAAAACGAATACGGTCGAAGTTCTGGGATTTTATTTTCTTGGCAAGTTTACACAAATTTGATCAATTTCTATCTTATCGTTTTCCCCTAATGTGCTGGAATTTTCCGATTTCAATTTTTTTAGTTTGTGGCAATGAACGTTGAGCAAGTTCGGATTATTTGATTTTGTTGCCGGGGGGGGAGGTTACAGAAATTCGGAGGGGGGGGTTCGAGTCTTTCTCCTTGCACCCTCCGTCCATAAAATTTCGCGATTGAGCATACCTCGTAGTCTTTCGTTGAAGCTTTCCCTTTCGTAAAAACTGCAGTCTTCTTGTCTTTTCACGTAAATAGCCTCATCCTTCCAGGGAGTCGGGTGCCAGTACGGATAGTAATCCCGTTCTTCGGGGCATTCGTAGCCGCTTCGAGTACCACCCGGATTTTGTCGTGTGTAAATACTCGTGTCTCCACGTGGATTTTGATCCGCGAGAAACAACCCTACACGATAAAGTACACCGGAGAATGTTCCAAATCACTGTATTCACATTAATCGGTACAAGATTAGGTTATCTAACCTAGATTGGTGTTCGAAACCTTCGTCTATTCATTTTCAACGTTGGAAGAGAGACTGTTAATGCGGAAATACACGTGCTTTGGTTTTTAATACACTTCAAAGGTGTATAGCACATATCCATGACATGGAGGACGTCCCAAAGCCCGTGCCGAAATCGTTTGCACTATTTCATAGTGCAAGTACGTATTTCAACAGCTGTGCTATACTCACCTTTGTTGCGTTGCCTTGTTTTACATTCTTTGTACCATTCGTAACGCTCATGCAACCCAAGGTGGTAGCTGGCGCCATTTTCTGACTGCGACTGCGTGTTATAACCTTGTAAAAACACACAGAATGAAATTTAACTCATGTCAATGGTCCCAATACACCTGTGTTATGAACTAACACTCGTAGGCCTTTAGAATATTTAGTTTTGTGGTAATTTATAATTGTCCTTAACAGAAGAAAATTTTTGATTATTCATTAAAAAAAGAGTTTCACTTTCATGTATTTTCGTTGCGTTTATTATCTGTGAGGCAAACCGAACGCATAGACTGTGTGCATATAATGTATGGGCTACATTCTTATTTTGGTTGGCAGGGTCAACAAATTTTAATCATTTTTAATCAAGAACGTTTTTATATTCGGTCCGTAGCGTGTTCGCCAACCGAATTAGAGGGGGTAAACTTAAGGTGAGCAGGCTAGCCCCCCCCCCAGAATATAATATGTCCGCATCTACAATTATACAGTGACCTTTTACACAGGATAAAAGACGGACAAATATTTAAATATAGTTGTATAAAGCAGTATATCTCCTAAATTTCTATTATTACACCAAAATTTAATCTATATACCACGAACTGTCTATTATAAGAAGATTTTAAATCTTATTTCCTACCATTTCTTAGTTTAAAAGCTGATGGCGTATTTTGTGGCTGACACTTGTATTGCAAAACGATGTTACAGTTGAGATCGTTATCACCACAGCCGTGTTGATTCGTCCATTCCACGGTCAGATATGATTTCCCTTCATTGTCACTTGACTGCCCTTTCGGGCCACTCATGAAGTATTCCTGTAGAGAGAAAAAGGTGGCAAATTCTCACACAAGCTTAAGCTACGGGTTCTGAAATAACTGCTTGTTGTTGGGTCGTGAAATTGTAAACAGGCAACAACTGCATGGCAACGCATGTAAATCGCTCTCTGAACTAATTTTCCGTTATTATTTGTGGCAAAAAAACTCTCTGATGCGTCGATTTGGTGAAGTAATTAATACCTTAGCTCTGTGTGTTGGAAATCAAGATGAAACCAAGCCTACAAGTCTTTTTTTGAGTTAGAATTGAGTACAAATTGCCCAAATTAATACTAACTTCGCAAAGTTTCCCCGACTTTTAAACATAATTTAACCGACTTATTGCCATTAAGGACATACCATTTCGTATTGAGTGTTACGGTCACTTTGGTATTTGTTTCCGACATTGTAACCACCTCTGTTGTTATTCTGTAAAAAAACAAAGTTATAAAACTATAGCTAAGCCTGATTTAGTTGAAAGATCTATACTTGGCAACTAAACTCAGTCTATAGTGCTACCGCAAACACGTTTTATGCCGGGGTCAATTTGATCTTCTATAGGATTTGCTGAGAATTTAACCTCATCTGCCCGGTTCGACATCTAAGAAAATATCAACTTTGATGGTGCACAAAGGCGTTGAAATCGTAAAACTTCTATGCAAAGCCGCTTATTGTTGTCGTTCACCTTATTTAGTGCAAATATGACTTTCTCTTCACGATCTCCAAAGATAAAGACTGAAAAACGTCGTCAGGATCGACCGTTTCCTTTCGATAGATTGATTACCCAAACACTTTCAAATCAAACCATTCAGTCGTACAAACAGCAAACTCACCTGTGAATCAAAGAGTCTGTTAGCGTTGTTTCTGTTGTTATTTTGTTCGTTTAATCGGTTATTTGAACCTCTTGGGTTGTGCATATAAACATCGCCTTTCGCTAGCCAGAATAGAAACTGCAGAGAGAAAAGGACTAGGCATAAACCGCCATGTTTCTGCTCAGCAATCTTCGCCATTAACTTGCATGCGACGACCGCCGAAGATCCGAATAGATGCGAACAGATTTGCTTTTTAAATTTTGGAATTGTACAATTTTCTTCTAACTGGCTAGAGATGGCTGATATTTTGAGCAATTGTGGCAAATGAATAGTGATTTCAAAAGTTGAAACGTATGTGATACAATGACTCTATAGGAGAGATTGTTATTTGTTATACTCGCTGCTGGAATTCTGACAATTCATCAAAAGTAGCTTCATTTGAAAAGCTTCGGAGACATTGAAACTTCAATGGTTGGCACATAAACAATGGCGTGCTTAGCACGATTATTATCAACAAAGCTTCTGCCCACTCTTACAGTTTACCATGCGATGCTTGATAGAACTTGGCTCAATATGGATGTAAAAAAAGCCTGATGCAGAACAAATTTCGAATCGGTAAATTGAGGATCGTTATTGCAATGCATATAGGATTAAACTAAAGCTGACATGTGAACGATATCGTGAGCTTTAATATAATTAAACGTGGCCGTTGAAATCAGATAGCAACGCAGTCGCTACCCTAACGGCATTGAGCTTTGGGGGAGGATATGTCGCCTTACCCTGAGATCTTGAGTGGGGTTCGTCTGGGGGTTGGTTGTGTCAAAAGCGCGTGGGTGAACGTCGCATGTCTGTTCCAAGATCTAGTATCGTGATCGTTATCTAAATGGCGACAGTGTCCACAAAGCGTACTTAAACTCCACTTTAAGTGCTTTCTAAATTTATCTAATCAAATTCATAAACGCATCGTTGTACATAACGAGCAAACTGCCTTCGCGTTCCAGGTTACCCGCTGAGCTGAACGACAAAGCTGACCTAAACAATGCAAGATTATCTCAACGATAAAGTTACGTAACTAATACTTGTGTATTTAATTGTATATGGTACAATAGCTTATACGATGTTTATACTATAACCTGCATGATTTTACAGGGGGGGAGTGCGTGAATTTTGGAATCCATTCTCAAATCAATTTCTTACCGTGTATTTCTGTTAATTTTTTCCAAGCGCTCGAAACATTGCAGTTTTATTCATCTGAGACTTGTAGTATTTTCAGCCTCGTCTATATCAATAACGATTTCCAGACAACATATTTGGAATAGGTGTTTGGAATAAAGAATGATTATTGAGAGCTTTTAATTGCAATTTATCCACAGGAAACTTATTATTTATCGCTCAAAATCTGTCTCCTTGACATTCACGTCGACCCAGAAACAAGGAATTCGAAACAGGGATCGAATTAATACACCTCTTGTATCTGCTTTGAATATCTTGAACTTTATAGACAAGTTAATACGGATTAGTTCCAGTGGTTAAGTTGAATTCGTTCAGTTAAAGTTAGAAATGAGTTGCATGCAATTCTTCTTGTTTTGCATTAAACCTTTAAAGCGGAACTTATCTTGGTCTGAAATTGCTATCGTGTACAGCCGTTTAATTTTCTGATTATCTGAAATATTGACCATTGACCAAGTGCTGGTGTTCTCTACCGTGAAACAAATTAAGAAATGTTACTAGGATATAGAAATCGCTAAAAAATAGTCGCGGCACCTTGTTTGAGGATTTTTACAGCGCCTGGCAATCAAATAATCTATGAATGACATTGATTGGTTTATTAATTTAACTTTTTTGTCTAATCAAGCAAATGAATGATTTAAGCAGTTTAGGTGATTCAGCTGTTTCAGTCAGCCTAAGATTATCACACGGTTGTCGACAAGCAATCAAAGTGATTGAGATGATGGGTGGATATATTAAACGTCGAGAGTTTTCTCGATACCAAACTTGATTTGATCATCGTGCAGTTGTCATCTCTGAAGACATGAAGAGTCTTATTTTCTTGGCTTTTTTAAGTCCGTGTGTTTTTGCACAGCACGTATGCGGCGATGTTTATCTCCATACGCCACGGGGTTCCAACAACAGATTGTTAGGCGAAGGAGCCAATCGTCAAAATGCGAACAGAGTGTTCGACTCTCAGGTATTTGTTAAAAACTTTCAAATATTGCTTGCCGTGCTGTTCTGTCTTAACACGAGTTAGTCGTTTGAATTTAAACAAGTCAGCGTCGTTTTGGGGTTTTTCACTTAAAACTAAAGCCGATAATACTGATATTGTCTTGAATATGCTATAATTTGCAATAGTAATGGTGTCTATATCATCATTTGCTAAACCTTACCCAATTTTTACTTCCCGGAGATTATCGCCGCTTCTGCCCTACCAGGGATTACACCTTACAGGAGATTAGTACCTTTCAGTTCTGGGGGATTTTCACCCCTTGACCTGTGCATGGCTCTACGGGATTTTCACCCCTAGGAGATTCAAGCTAGGGGAATACAAACCCATGTCTATTTTTAGATAAATTTGTATGGTCGGTTTTAGAACAATTTTGTAATCAACTATATTAATGGAGTCCTCAACCCATCAACCCAATCGCTTTCTGAATTGTATTAAACTGAATTGATAGTGCAAAAATAAATAGAATAGTTTTTAAGATGGTTAGAAAAATCTTGCACCATTATTTCCATCGGCTTACATCTTATCATGTTTGAAAAGTTCGACTTTCTTTTTAACCCAATCATTTTAAGTTCTGTATGCTTGACTTTTTAAGTAAAAGATGCATGTCATAACACACTTGTTCTGTTTATTGATGGAGATTTTTCTTCGCCAGAACAACGCTAAAGGTGGTTACAACGCTGGTGAAAAGAGCGAAAAAAAGACAACTGATTGGTATCATATGGTAGGTTGTTCAGGACGAGAAGGCCAGCTGTTCAAATGTTTATAAACGTGATTAAAAACATGTTTTCTCTCTCCCCATGCACACACAGCAATATTTCATGAGCGGCACCTCGGCTAATGCACCAACTATCCTGAATCTTGAATGGACCAATCAGCATGGCTGTGGCGACGGTGACTTGAATTGTAACATCGTCTTGCAATACATGTGTCGCCCCTCTGGACAGGAGGATAAACAAAGGGAGATGAGGAACGGTAAGAAAATACAAAATGAGACAGAGCTGGCTTTAATAATACTGAAATACAAGATGGACAGAGCTGACTTCAGTTTCCCAGTTCGTGCAATACTGAGCATGTTTTGACAAACTGGTGTGCCAGAAAACGACCAAGCTTCCTCATAAAACGACGATGATACAAGCTACTCTTTTTTACAGGAATAAAACATGCTCCGAAAAGCATAATCTTGTGAATCAAACGAGTTATGTTTCGCGATATTTTGACTTTATTTCAAAGTCGCAAAGTCGTTGTTTCGTTTTTGACTCGCATATTAAATGTTGTTTTTCAGAGCATGTTTTTCTTATATTTCATTAAATACTCTCATTATGATTGTTTAATTGTTGCTCTACAATCAATAATACAAACAGGCCATCTCTCTTTATTCCAGGCAAAACGGAGACGACCCCAGCCTATAGAAAGCGCACTTTCAGAAGTTTTAGAAGCAAACTTATGGAGAGAAGGAGGCGCTCTCGCCTTGACAGAGTTTACAACGAGCAGTGGGAATGGTATGACAAGTGCAACACGAGAGAAAGAAACAAAGGTTTGGATCAATCAAAAGCAGAACAATTTAGAATCAATAGAGCTACATATCCAGTGTAAATCAGTTTAGTTTAAATTTCCTCTCGTAGTAATTAACACTGGTTCAATAGGAGATGATCCTTACTGGACTTCTAGGCTAGGAAGAATTGTTTAGAACTGATAGAACTATCCAGTATAAATAAAGTTAGTTTAGTTCAGGTTTCCTTCTGTAGTAACACTGGATCAATAAGAGATAATCCTTACTGGACCTCTAGAAAGAACAGTTTAGAACTGATAGAACTATCCAGTATAAATAAAGTTAGTTTAGTTCAGGTTTCTTTCTGTAGTAACACTGGATCAATAGGAGATGATCCTTACTGGACCTCTAGGAAGAACAGTTTAGAACTGATAGAGCTATCCAGAATGAATAAAGTTAGTTAGTTTCGTGTATTAACACAGTATATTATCTAGTGACACTTCCATGCTTTGACTTCTACATTTGACGAACTTTGATTCTTTCAACACAATCATCTGCAGGTCTGTTCACAGCTGATCAGAACCTCAAGGGCAACACAGCAAAGTACACGCGACAAAACGCTAATGGAAATCGTCATGGTTACGAGTGTCCTGAGGAAAGAGATTATTATCCATACTGGCATCCGACTGACTGGATTGATATCGCAGTCTTGGGAGACGGAGCAGATTGTGACTTTTACAAGTCACAGAGCTTCAACACCAATCCTAAGGGTATTTAAAATTTCTCTAATTTCTCATCATTTTGGAACAAACTCCACTCCGGCTTCCAGTTCACAAAAGCTTGTTGTAATCATGCCTATTTTCAGTTGAATTTCAATAGAACGTTCTGCAATGTTATTATTAAGTCTTTACTCGTGATCTCCAATGAGAAAAAATTTCCTGGCTAAACGCAATTGTTTTCGCATTTATATAGAGGAGTGTGTGGAACTCTACAACAAAGAAAGGGCTTACGATGAAAAGACAAACAAATGGCGTCATGCCTCACGATTCAACAACAAAGCTGCCTGCGAAGCAAACAAAGGAAAATGGGTGACATTTCACAGCTATCTTGAAGAGGCTGAGCTTACCAAGGAGCAGTGTACTGGTGAAGAGCACATATGGGCCATTCCCTATCGCTCTGAAAGATTGGACCAGTTCAAAGGTGCTGATCCCGAGGACTGGAAAAAATGCTTGGTCGCGTTACCCAAACCAGAATGTGGGCCAGCCCCGTACTCACGTTCCAATCACCTGGGTAACGGCGAGGGCGTGGTCGCTCTCAACTATCCTTGGAAGATACCCCGCTTCCCTTCAGGAGACGAACAGAAATGTGTACTGAGAATACGGTTAGTCTTGCTGTGAACGTTTATCTCAGAGTTCGTCTTCTCAATCTCATATAGTGTTTATGTCCGTGGACTGATTTTCATAGTTGGCCAACTGAATACGCAGAGTACGTGTTTAACAATTTTCCATTTTAATTCAGGTACAATATCTCCACAAGCGATTACGACGTGAAAAATACATTCTCTGGTTCAAACAACGAGTAAGTATTGTTCACTTTTTTGCCGATGGAAAATTAAAGCTATAAATAAACGGCCGCCAAGAAAGACCAGAATATAACTTCACATTCTTGGACAGGGGAAGAGAGAAGAAATACTATTTAAGATACTACTCATAAGATATATCATTCGGTTTCTGTTCATTTAATGGCACTGATCACAGATGACGAAACATGCTGTTACGGCAGCAAAATTATCCAGCTTTCGTTTCATTCTGAATCAAATCATCGTTTCACAATCTTATCTCACTTTCAGTGACTCTGTCATCCAGAACGACCCGGAAGTACTCTTCGGTGAACCAAACAACAACAAGGTTCCCCTTCAGCTGGCCATAAACACGGCTCAATTCGGTCGTACATTCCAGGATCGCTCTCATGTCTTTAAGATCATACCAAGAAAGCCGGAGTTCCAGGATAAGCGAATCCTGAATCTGAATGTGCGAGGGAAGAGAGGAAATATTGTCCAGGTTTATCCCGCTGTAGAATACGACTTCTCTCCGAAGCGGATGTCGATTACGACGAATGATTATCTCCATGTCCAATGGACAGGTAATTACGAGCTATGTGCTTATATTATTGTACAAAGAATCAATCGCAAAGAATGCTCCACTTTTTGAGCAGTGTAATCTTTGCCTGAAATTTTACTGAATTACTGTATTTCAATTCTAATCCCACTTTAATTTTGTCGTATATTTTGTCTTGTCCTTTCCTCATCTCGTAAGATTTTGTAACCGGTTTGTTTGAGTAATTTGCTTTCAAAATTTCTGAAATTTTTTCTTCCTATAAACATATTTAACCTTCTGAGATTGTCATGTTATAGGTTCTAACAGAAATCCAAAAAACAATGCTGGTGAAGGGCGCGCACGTAAGTATATATTGTCAATACTCGTTTCATGAAACATCACACATACATTATAATCACACAACATCGTTTTCCAACATTTCACGTATTCGAACCAGAGGTCTTTTAAATGGCTTTTTTCTTTAAAAGAACATCTAGAATTGCTTTGATATTCTAATTAGACTTAGGGTTTTTTGGTTAATATTTTCATGAAATTTTTGTTATGCAGAAACCGACCGTAGCAACATGGTCGCAATGCAATCGCCTGACAAAAGCCTCCCGCATTATGGCGGCGGTTTATTCGAAAATGCCCAAGTTGTTTATGCTCTGGACGGTACTCAAGGTATGTCGTCAGCTGACGCTGCTGTTGCCATGGCTACGGCGGGCCACTTCAAAAACGCGGCGAATGTTCCCGCCAATCTCAATCAACTGGGCGGATGTAATAGAAAGCAACTAGCTCAACTGGACTGCTATCCACCGTCCTACTCTGGGATGCTGCTGCGTTTCACGAAAGCCGGAACATACTATTACATGGGTTCCCGTAACAACAACTTCACCAATCGAAGTCAAAAGGGCAGGCTTACAGTCACCTCCACGAAAAAATGACGTTCATAAATGTTGTTCAGTTAAGTCGCAATATGGTTCATTAAAGATTTATTTATTCCCGGCAGATATTTGTGCGTTACGGTATATTATACGTCTATGTATTCGCCTTTTCCGAGATGTTTTTGTAAGCTTGAACCGTACTGTTTCATATTGTCGAGCTTTTTTGATAGACTTTTTTTGATAGAAAGCAAAACATACCTTTTCATTCCCAATCAAACGAGTTCAAATTTACAACTTTATTTGGGGTGTTCATTTCATTGTTGTAGGAAACAGGTTTGACAAGCTGATGTAGATAAACTCAGTTGGTTGGCCAATCAATATTTTCGAATGAATCACTATTTCTTTTATAAAGATAAACAATTATACATGCAACTATGCCTGTGCCAAAGGCTCTAAACTCGCTCAAGCAGTTTTCATCCTCTTCTATATAGGAATTTAAACAGAGGAAAATTCCAATGAAATTGAATCATGATCCGAAAATTCAAAATTGAATTGAAACAAGAGAGGCTTGTGGAGTCAATGATAACATCAAATTCAATTGCTATGAATTTAAATATTGTTCAATATTATCGATTGAATAGGGTTCTATAGGATTTTCTAAGCGGTCTTTGCTCTGAAAGATAAGGATTTATTTAACTTCTTAGATAAGCTGTACGAGATTTTCTGAAGTTCTATACCACAAAATGTCCGCTTTTCGATCTGTCAATATTTTTCCGTGTATTCGGCATCGCCATCTTGCCCACTCGTACTGATGAAGTAAATTTATTTGTTTCGTTACCTGGGAGAAATATTCGAAATATTCGAAAGGACATTGAAATCAAATGCTTTTTTATATATCTTACAAACGCTTCTTATCAACACGACGCTTCTGCCCACTTCTACAGTTTACGATACAATGCTTGATAGCATTTGGCTCACAATAGACGTGCTAGCCTTATGCACATGCATACAAATTTCCAGCCGAGATTATAGTTTTTGCAATGTTTATAGAAATACACTGTATAAAGAAAGACTTTTCCACTTGCAATCTCCGCTTCAATTTCCGGTGCAATGTTCTACTCTTGTCGGATGTGATCAAGTGGGCAGTTACGAAAGCTGCGAAGTGAAAGTGCCCGTATTTGCACCTCGGTAATCTATTTACTTGTTCGCATTTCTCAAAGTAGAAAATCGCAAGTGTAAACGGCTGGTATTAGGGCTGAAACTCGAGTTTTAATGCAATCTGGTAATACCTTGACGGCAGGTGGCTTTCAGAGGAGGTGTAAGTTGCCTTACCCTGGCTACCTAGGACCCTGGGGGTTGGTTGTGTCAAAAATGCGGGGGCGATCGTCGCATGTCTGTTTCAAAATATCATGTTATTATAATATCTGTTTCAAGTATCGTGATCGTTATCTAAAAGGCGACGGTGTCCACAAAAGCGTACCTAAACTTTAATTTGAGTGTTTTCTAAATTTATCTAATGACATTCATGAACGCATGGTTTAGTCCTGGTTATACACAAGTGTAACAAAGTGCCCTCGCACTCCAGGTTTCCCGCTGAGCTTTGCCACAATGCTATGTAAAAAAAATGCGAGATTAGCTTCAAAATATAGCGCGGTAATCAATATTTGTCTATTGAACTGTATGAAAGAAAAAGCTCATTATGTAGTGTTTTTACAATAACTTACACCCGATTTCCTAAATCATTTTCTTTTCGTATGTTTTTGTGGTCATTTTTTCCCACCATTCAAGATATAACAATCTTTAACTGCTCAAAATGGTGTCATTTTAAAGCTCGTTTATATTAAATGACGATTTTCAGACATCATATTCGCACTGTGGTGCTCACAAAGGATAAAAAAGGTCTATTATTAACAGATTTGGAGGTTCAAGTATCGCCTGCGAGGCATTTGAAGCATCTGAATGACTTATCAAAAATTCGAGTTCTGTCGTTATCATTAAAATTGTTTTTCAAAGTTTTGATATGATCAAAATAAGGCAATAGAGACGCACAATAGATTGAAACGAGTTCAACGGGAGATCAATGAGAACAGCAGGTTAAAAACTGTGGCATTTAAGATTATTTACATGCGTTTATGATAAGGACTTTATTGGGTTTACACGAGAAAGATGTAGGTTTGAGGATTTTTCTGTAAATGAGTCGATTTCTGTCTCATTTTATATTAATTTTCAGTTGAACATATCCGAATACTCGTACTAATAAATTTTACAAACTTTATGCAAGGAACGAACGTAGTGTTTTTTCCGGCCAGTTGAAATTGGCCATCAATTCTGCCTACTTAATATGCGTCAAAACCCGCTGATTTATTCAAAATGTAATAAAAATAGAACTTAATGTAGGCGGCCTCTTTGAAAGAAACCTTGTCTAGTTAGCATTTATCCTTGCGCTGATAATGAAGTAATCTATCCGACATTGATTGGAATATTAGATTTACTTTTATGTTTAAAACGCATTAAATCTTGCACGTTATTTAACCAGTCAGGTGAAACAGCTGTTTCAACTTCAAGTCAGCCTTGTATTGTCACATTGTCATCAGTAAACAATCAAAATAATTGATAAACTGTTGACTGTTGAGCATATATCAAACGGTGCATATCCCGCCAGTAGCAAACTTGATCTGATCTTCGACCAGTCGTCATCTCAAGAAAAGATGAGGAATCTGATTTTGTCGACCCTTTTGAGTTTGTGTGTTTTAGGACTTCACGTACGCGGCGATGTCTATCTTCATAATCCGCGGGGTTCTAACAACAGATTGTTAGGCGAAGGAGCCAATCGTAAAAATGGGAACAGAGTGTTCGACTCCCAGGTATTTGTTAAACACTTTCGAATATTGCTTGCCGCGCCGTTCTGTCTTAAAACGAGTTCGTCGTTTGAATTAAAACAGCCTCGTAGTTTTGTGTTTTTCACTTAAAGTTAAAGCCGATGGTACTGATATTGTCTTGAATACTGCTATAATTTGCAATACTAATGGTGTCTATGATCTTTTGCTAAACCTTACCCAATTTTTACTTCCCGGGGATTATTACCGCTTCTGCACAATCAGGGATTACACCTTGCAGGAGATTAGTACCTTTCAGTTCTGGGAGATTTTCACTTCTTGGCCTGCGGTTCTACGGGATTTTCACCCCTCGGAGATTCAAGCCCCTAGGCAAATATAATCTCATATTTATTTTTAGATAAATTTGTATGGTTTGTTTTCGAACAATTTTTGTAATTATCTATATTACTGGAGTACTTTAACCCAACAATCAATTGCATTAAACTGAGTGAGCGACTTGCTCTTTAGACTATTTTTTGATCCAAGCAATAAGAATAAAAGAAATCACCACAGCTTGCAAGAGCGTACTTGAATTAGTGCAAATGCAAATTATGGCTGCGAAATTTAGTAAAATACGGAAAATATAGCCATGCGAAGTTGGCATATTTTGTATACTTTTGTATTTCGCGTGGAAATGTGTAACTAAATTAGTTACAAACTTCCGGTCGTAATATACAAAAGTATACAAAAATCGACAAATTCGCATGGCTATATTTTCCGTAATTTACAAGAATTCACCGCCAAACTTTGCAGTTTTACTAATTTTAGTAAACTCTTTCAGAAAATTTTCTTTTTACCACTGAGATAAGAAATTAGTCTAAAGCGCAAGTCATCCATTGATCGTGGAAAAGTAAATAAAATAGTTTTTAAGATGGTTAGAAAAATCTTGCACAATCATTTCCATCGGCTTACATCTTATCATGTTTGAAAACTTTGACTTTCTTTTTAACTTAATCATTTTAAGTTCTGTTTGCTTGAGTTTTTTAAGTAGAAGATGCATGTCATAACACACTTGTTATGTTTATTGATGGAAATTTCTCTTTTCTAGAATAACGCTAAAGGTGGTTACAACGCTGGTGAAAAGAGCGAAAAAAAGACAACTGATTGGTATCATATGGTAGGTTGTTTAGGACGAAAAGCTGTTCAAATGTTTATAAACGTGATTAAAAATATGTTTTTTCTCTCCCCATGCACACACAGCAATATTTCATGAGCGGCACCTCGGCTGATGCACCAACTATCCTGAATCTTGAATGGACCAATCAGCACGGCTGTGGCGACGGTGACCTGAATTGTAACATCGTCTTGCAATACATGTGTCGCCCTTCCGGACAGGAGGATGAACAAAGGGAGATGGAACGGTAAGAAAATACAAAATGAGACAGAGCTGGCTTCAGTTTAGTGCTTTTACTTATTGGGCAACACTAAGCATGTTTTGACAAACGTCTGGTGTCCCAAAAACGTCTCTAAGCTTGCTCACTATAAACAACGATGATACATCAAAAAAACATGCTCCGAAAAACATAATCTTGTGAATCAAACGAGATATGTTTCGCGATATTTTGACTTTATTTGAAAGTCGCAAATCTTTGTTTCGTTTTTGATTCGCATATTAATTTACAAGATGTTGTTTTCCGAGCATGTTTTTCTTATTTTTCTTTAAATACTCTTATTGTAATTCTTTAATTGTTGTTCTACAATCAATAATACAAACAGGCCATCGCTCTTTAATCCAGGCAAAACAGAGTCGACCCCAATCTATAGAAAACGCAATCTTAAAAATCCTGCAAAAAAATCTGCGGAAAGAAGGTCGCAATCACTTCTTGACAGAGCTTACAACGAGCAGTGGGAATGGTATGACAAGTGCAACAGGAGAGAAAGAAACAAAGGTTTGGATCAACCAAAAGCAGAACAATTTAGAACCAATAGAGCTACATATCCAGTGTAAATCAGTTTAGTTTAGGTTCCCTCCCGTAGTAACACTAGTTCAATAAGAGATGATCCTTACTGGACTTCTAGGAAGAACAGTTTAGAACTGATAGAGCTATCCAGTATAAATAAAGTTAGTTTAGTTCAGGTTTCCTCGTGTAGTAACAATGGATCAATAAAAGATGATCCTTACTGAACCTCTAGGAAGAACAGTTTAAAACTGATAAAACTATCCAGTATAAATAAAGTTAGTTTATTTTAAGTTTCTTCCTGTAGTAACACTGGATCAATAAGAGGTGATCCTTACTGAACCTCTGGGAAGAACAGTTTAGAACTGATAGAGCTATCCGGTATAAATAAAGTTAGTTTAGTTTAAGTTTCTTCCTGTATATTGACACGCTTTCACGCACTTTGCTTCATTTCGATTGACGAGTTTTGATTCTTTCAACACAATCATCTGCAGGTCTGTTCACAGCTGATCAGAACCTCAAGAGAAACACAGCAAGGTACACGCGACAAAACCCCAATGGAAATCGACGAGGTTACGAGTGTCCCGAGGAAAGAGATTATTATCCTTACTGGCATCCGACTGACTGGATTGATATCGCAGTTTTGGGAGACCAAGCAGATTGTGACTTTTACAAGTCACAGAGCTTCAACACCAAACCTAAGGGTACTCAAAATATATCTAATTTATCGTAATTTTAGAACAAGCTCCGCTCCAGCTTCCACCTCACAAAAGCGTTCACTGTTTTCAGTTGAATTTCAATAGAACGTTCTGCAATGTTATTATTAAGCCTTTACTCGTGATGTGCATACTTTAAGAGCACGTGCACATGTCAGAGCCCTGTACCCGAATATATTTTCCCTTTCCTACGAGAATAAAATTTTCTCAAGCAACGCCGATTTCCTTGGCAGGTCGTGGCTAAAGGCAATTGTTTTCGCATTTATATAGAGGAGTGTATGGAACCTTATAACAAAAAAAAGGCTTACAATGAAAAGACAAACAAATGGCGTCATGCCTCACAATACAACAACAAAGCTGATTGCGAAGCAAACAATGGAATATGGGTGACATTTCACAACTATCTTGAAGAGACTGATCTTAGTGAGGCACAGTGTACTGGTGAAGAGTACATATGGGCCATTCCCTATCGCTCTGAAAAATTGGACCAGTTGAAAGGTACTGATCCCGAGGATTGGAAGAAATGCTTGGTCGCGTTACCCAAACCAGAATGTGGACCAGCCCCGTACTCACGTTCCAATCACCTGGGTAACGGTGAGGGCGTGGTCGCTCTTAACTATCCTTGGAAGATACCCCGCTTCCCTTCAGGAGACGAACAGAAATGTGTACTGAGAATAAGGTTAGCCTCAACGACTTGCTCTCGATCTTAAGAGTTTTATCGTCCGTTGAATTTTCATAATTAGCCAAATACTGAATTACGCAGAGTACGTGTTTAACAATTTTCCATTTGAATTCAGGTACAATATCTCCACAAACGATTACGACGTGAAAAATACATTCTCTGGTTCAAACGACGTGTAAGTATTGTTTACCTTCTCGCATTTTGAATGACTGAAGAAAAAATATATTTCTTACACAGCCTTGGACGAGACAGACATGAATTAAATTTTGCATTACATGCATTACAATATCTTATTTGCAAACTGCATTTCGTGAAACTCGAATGGCGCAGTGGAAACTTCTCTCGTTTTATGTAAGACTAACTCTCTTGACGAAGGCCCTCAGGTCGAAACGTCGAGAAGTGTTTTGTCTATTTTAGGCAGTTGTTATGCCACATTTTATGCTATGTTCCAATCAAGAGCATTCTACATCATAAAGCCTTCGTTTTAAACATTACGTATCTTCTTAAAAAAGGCTACTGGTGAATTCAAAATTGAATTTAACGCGCTACTGGTGAATTCAAAAGTATCGATGTCGTGTTGAACTCTTCTTAGGATCATTCCTATTTCATTTTCAGCGACTCTGTCATTGAAAACGACCCAGAAGTAGTAGGGACCAGACAACAACAAGGTTCCCCTTCAGCTGGCCATAAACACGGCTCAATTCGGTCGAACATTCCAGGATCGCTCTCATGTCTTTAAGATCATACCAAGAAAGCCGGAGTTCCAGGATAAGCGAATCCTGAATCTGAATGTGCGAGGGAAGAGAGGGAATATTGTCCAGGTTTACCCCGCCGTAGAATACGACTTCACTCCAAAGAGGATGTCGATTACGACAAATGATTACCTCCATGTCCAATGGACAGGTAATTACGAGCTTTGTGCTTATATTCTTGTACAAAGAATCAATCGCAAAGAATGCTCCATTTTTGAGCAGTAATCTTTGTCTGAAATTTTACTGAAATACTGTATTTAATTCTAATCCAACTTTAATTTTGTCGTATCTTTTGTCTTGTCTCTTCTTCATCTCGTAACATTTTGTAACCGGCTTGTTTGAGTAATTTGCTTTCAAAATTTCTGAAATATTTTTGGCCTGTAATATATTTAACCTCCAGTTGAAATGTTTTAGGTTCCAACAGAAATCCAAAAAACAATGCTGGTGAAGGGCGCAAACGTAAGTATAAATTGTCAATACTCGTTCGTGAAACATCACACATACATTATAATCACACTACATCGTTTTCCAACATTTCACGTATTTGAACCAGAGGTACGTTTTTAAAAGCAAATGGCTTTTTTCTTTGAAGGAAGATCTATGCTTGTCTATCGGTTTTGTTTTGTCATGAAATCATGAAATTTTTGTTATGTTAGAAACCGACCGTAGCAACATTGTCGCAATGCAATCGCCTGACAAAAGCTTCCCGTATTATGGCGCCGATTCATTCGAAAATGCCCAAGTTGTTTATGCTCTGGACGGTACTCAAGGTATGTCGTCAGCTGACGCTGCTGTTGCCTTGGCTACGGCGGGCCACTTCAAAAACGCGGCCAATGTTCCCGCCAATCTGAATCAATTGGGTGAATGTAATAGACAGCAACTAGCTCAACTGGACTGCTATCCACCGTCCTACTCTGGGTTACTCCTGCGTTTCACGAAAGCCGGAACATACTATTACATGAGTTCCCGTAACAACAACTTCACCAATCGAAGTCAAAAGGGCAGGCTTACAGTCACCGATTAGAAAAAAATGACGTTACATAATTATATAAAATGCTACGTCAATTTGTGCATGTTAGTTACGTTCAAACAGGGTTAATAAGATATATTTTGCCCTGCAGATAGTTTGTTCATGTGTTAGTTACGGTATATTATATGCCTATAGCTGTATAACCCTTCTAGATCCTTGCGATCTGTTTTAGCAGTCACTGACCACGTAAAATATTTTTCTTTGTGTAATCTTCTTAACTTTGCCGTTTGTAATTCTTTTAATATTCAAGGATTTCTTAATAAAATTATACCCAACATTTCAGTTTTTACCTCTCTGGAAATATAATTTAAAAAGTGTCCAAATGGTTACCGCTAAAATCGAGTAAAAACTACAGTTATATTTGAGCAGCTATTTATTTGTATCAATGTAGGAAAGTTGGACAAGTAAGCTGACGCGATAACATCACTCCGGTTAGATAATCGATTTCCAGAAACTCAATGTCAATGAAACAAACACCATTATGTTATTAAAGATGTACGTCACTTGTGAAGTGACATTTCGCTAATGAGTTTTAAACTATAAAACAATTATCATAACATAAAGAAATATTTTCATCTAATCCAAGCCAGGCTGTAATGACAAGTCCATATGCAGTCGAAAATCCAAATTGAAATGTATTCAAATTCAGGCATCGACAAAGCCATCATGTTAGGATTTTAATTGTGTACTTTTCGCTGAAATTCGTAACATTTTTTCATGTATTTTTAAGTGTTTTAAACGTGCAAAAGATCAATTAACTGTCGGTCTCTCTCGTGAGTTGGATAACAAACAAATTTCTGATATATTCATTAGTCTTCTATTTGAGCTTTCAAATTAATGCAAAATGCTAAATTTCGTTCACAAATAACTCTCAACTCGTCTGTAAATAGCGAATAATTGCTTGTGGCCGCAGTATGGGGTGACTCTTGAGAAAATTAATCACAAATGCTGTCGTATAATATAAATTATTCATTTGCATCTGCCCGTAATATATGTTATACGTATGTTTGAAGTTGCAATGTATTGAATATCATGCAAAGTTCACTTCACATATAGATGTGTTGTTTCGTTTTGGAAGAACAGGGATATATAGCTTTTAGGTATGTTGTTTCTTGATTTTTCAAACAGTACGAGTTTAAATTGATTGCTTAAAGTATTTTGTGAACAATAATATGTCATTATATTCTATGTTTGACGTTATAATCGCACGTTACAACATGAATTCAGTATTAAACCGAAAGCCATGCATATTACATAGAAATTGTATATCTTGACAATTGATACATGAAAGGATTTTCGTCAAGGTTTTCCAAGTCCGTCTTCTTCAGATAAACTTAGCTACAACTTGATAATTAAACAAAAAACTGTATAAGTTTAGCAAACAATTAAAAGATCTTTTTGAAAGCATTATATATATATATATTCTATATAATAATATGATGCACGCATCTTTTCGGTCGATGATTTACGTTGATCATGTTGACAAAAATATGCTCACATTTCACAACTACCTGGGATTCTGACAACTATACCTAAGAAAAGAAGACGATTTCAAATGAGCATTTTGCATTTCGGCTACTTTGTGTAAATTTCGTCTAATAAATAATATGAATGATATATAATATGGCTGATGGCGAACTTTTACCTCGTCAAAATCGTCATAGACATGCTGATATATACCTTCAAGTCGAATAATCGTTTTCATAATAACGACAAAAACTAAAGAATACTTTACAATATTATGCTGTCTTATCAAATCGGTTACAGTTACGGATCCGACGCGATGCAGTAGTCATGGCAATATTAATTGTAAATAATATAATAGTTTTTATTAAATATGTCCAAAATTAAACCCATTTTGTAATAATTCTATCAATATTCATGAATCAAAGCTGTTGACAACCTATAAGTTTAGTGGA